TTTCTTGGGCCAGTCACCAAAGACTTTTTTCATTACATCCTCGACCGGTGTGCCAAAAAATTCCTTAGAATAAATAGGTCCACCAATCAAACGAAAGTACTAGTACTGTTAGATTAAGAGGCATATGGTCGAAGACAAAATTTAGAACATCATTCTTCGAATTCCTTCTTTGCTTCGTTGAACTCCCTTTCTGAAGAGCCGAAAAGTCATTATCAGCTCAGAAGTGAGAAAGAAATAGGTAAAGGCAAGGGGCAGCCCTGGAGCTAACCAAGCTGCCAAGCCAAGAAGTGGGGATGGTATAATTCCCAACTAGCTCAACGTGCATCGCAACCAAATGGAAGGTCATAAGCTAGCATAAATAATCCCCAATTTTGCTGATAGGCTATGTTTTTTGGTTCTCCCCAAGTCGAAGTTAGGAGATGGATAAAGGGGGGATAGTTTCTTTGACGGTAAATTAGAAATTTGTCATTGGAAAGGTTATCTAGGTTGAAGAAGTATTTGAATATTTCTTTGGTCTAGTGGGTTGGGGTTGGTTGAGAAGCCAGATAGAGACCCATTGCTTTGGAAGAATCGAAGCTGAAGCATTATGGCCTTAAGGTTGTAAAATAAACATGTGGTGAGATAGACATCAAGCTCAACTTTCCATGAAGGCTGAACAAAAGAAATGTTAGACGAGCAAAATCTAAAAGAGAATGACGAAAGTAATGTTTTTAGACTAAACAAGAAGTGACTTCGGCCATGTCTTCTGGGCTGTTGGTCGAACCCAAAGAGCTTAATGGCCGAGCTTAATGTTTATGACAGCTTTGCAATTCATATGGCCGATGAAGGTTATCTATGTTTGATGGCCACCTAGGCGGCCATGAAATGTAGACATCGCCCTTCAATGCATAAAATTTTCGATGATATTAACGATTGGGCACCCAAAATTTGATGTTTTGTTTTGGTTTAGAATTATAGAATAAATGGTCAAAATCAAAATCAAGAAGAACTTACAAAAGCAGAAATTAGACAGACATGGCACACAAGCCAAGTAATTAATAAGCTAACTACGTCATTAAGTCAAATGTGGGGCGTGCCAACTTGTTGATCAAGCTAGATCGGGGGGTAAATAAATGTTACTGTGACGTTAGGCGTGATGCTGACTTCTAGATCTTACGACTATGGCCAAAGAAGGAACACGTCTTGGCCTTCAGGTTCTAGAGCCTGAAGACAATGTTGGGAGATGGATTGAAAGGGGGATTGTTTCTTCAACGACAAGTCAGAAATTTATCATCAGATAAGTCATCTAGGCCGAAAAAGTATTTGAATATTTCTTCTGCTGAATGTGTTGGGGTTGGTCAAGAGGCTAGATAAAGACCCATCGCTTTTGAAGAATCAAAGCCAAAGCATTCTAACTTTAAGGTTGTAAAATAAACTTGTATCCAGAATTGAAAGACCCATAGTGGATCATTCTGGTGTGGGTCGATTTTCTCGACCGTGGCCTCGGTGAGCAAATGTGTGAAATTGGCAAGAATGGTAGGGTTGAGCACCAATTAGTGAACATTGGTCAAGGCTTCGGCAACCAGCATGTTCTCGGCAAGGCACTTATTTGATTTGGTACAAAAGATGAAGTTATTGTACAAATAAAACAAGAAGGCCTCATGTTCTCCTTTCTTAAGGCCACTTTTATCCTGACCAGCAAAGTGGCTGATAAGTATGCTGTAATTGAAGAAATTCTTGTAGAGCTTATTTGCCTTATCCTTTGCATTTCTTGGTCATTTCTCTTCAAAACCTCATAAGCACGTTCCTCAAATATCGTCTTCAAGTCTAGGTCGAATCGATACCTAGATAGGGTGGTATCAATTGGAAGGCCAGACGGGGGGGTGCCAAGGATGGCCGTCACATCCAATATAGTCGGCCCCATAAGACCGAAAGGGAGTACCATGGTGTTAGTGCCGAACACCAGAAACTTAGAGCAGTCATCAAGAGCTCTCGATCCATGCTGATTTTAATGGTCGAGAGATTAATGGCGTCAAAGATACCAAGCTCTTTCTAGGCGGCACCAAAATGAGGTTCCATTTGGTCGACCCAAGTGGCCCAAGCTACGGGGATTAAAAGTCACGCCCTTTGGGGTTTGGCGCAATACCATTTTGACCAATCGTGGCCTTGGAGTACAAGATTCAGGCAATTGGTCTTTAACCGCTCGATGATAGGTTCTGGGATGGCATCCTTGAACAGAGGTCCCAAAGCTTGGTGAGTTGGGATTGCTTCATCCTCAAAACGGAGGGCTTTGATGGCATTGTGATTAATGAAGTCTTGACATTTGTCGCATTCCTCAGTGAGTTTGGTGATGAAGGTGTTGGAAGCCATTAGAGTAAAGGTTGGAGGTTTTCTAGGTTTCAAAGGCTTTCTAGGTTTCGAATAATCAGAGCAAAATGGCAAGAGTTCTAGGATAGCGTAAGATTGGAATGAGGCCGGTGTTTGTATTTATAGACAATTGGAAAATGAGATCTATGGTCTCAGATCTGAGTGTTGAAGGGAAAATCTGGTCGAAATCTTTAATAACCATTGCAAAATTTGAAATACAGGCAAAGAGACCAAAAAGCACAAAAATTGGGGTTGCATGATTGTGTGTGACGAGAAACTTTAAGGCACGATCATTATGAAGAGATGTTTCAACGTCTACTCACCTCGGGCGTAAGGTGCGTGCATCACCAAGGTTAGACAGACGCGACAAGAAGCGGCCACATGTCAAGAACTCACGACTATTGAGGATTAACATGCAGAGTGGAGGTTCATGTCCAATAAATGCATCTAAGTGGGTGGATGGAGAATATTCATTTTGCAAAAATCATTTGTTCGGCCATATAGTGTAAACCAAAGATTTATTTTTGGTTGGTAACTGTTCATTTCTTCAAGGTTGAAGCTCAGCTAGATGCTGTAGGCCGAAGGCTTCAGAAGCGAGGGGTAATGTTTGGACCCAAAATAATACTTTAGGGCGAGCCCATGATTTTTCCAGGTCCAGTAAAAAGCATCAGGAGTATTCTTACCTTAGGCATAGCCCAATAGAGTTCGGCCAAATCTTATTAGAAGATGGTTCCGTCTAGATAAGGGTGAAGTGGTCGAATCTTAGTACAATGAGGATTCTTCAGAAGCTCAAGATGCTTCGAATTAGAAAAGATGTTGAGAGTCAAAGGTTGAATCTGAGTGATTAAGGAGCTTGGTTTAGAACCCTATAGAAGTTAGGATTCGTCGAGACCTAATCAGATTGGGTTGAGTAATTCTAGTCCGAGTGAAATTCTAACTCGGTCATTGAGGAAATTGCTACTATAGATAGAGAAAGGAGTGCATCATTCAAAGCGCCTCAAAATTCAGCACAAAACTATCATGCGCAAACTCTCACTCTACGCAAAACCTCTCAAAGACCTTGAGATTTTTATTTTCTTTTTTCTCGCCAACAAACCTTTAGTTTGGATAAACAGCATTGTGGTGGCAGCTAGCAACATCTTCAGTTTGGATAAAAAAAACACTGGAGTCGTAAAGTCAGCCGATTGAAGAACACCTTCAATTTGGATAAATAGCACTATTTCAAGACTGATTGTTTACCTATCCAAGTCTCGGTCAACAAGGATTTTTGAGTCCTTGTTGGTAAAGGTCATCTCATCAATATTCTCAGTGAAGTAAAGTGTACCAGGTTACTACATTCGGCACACTGAAAGTCGAATTTGATATTGAACTTCGCAGAACTGGCAACCTTGTCTTCAGGCTCTAGAACCCGAAGGCCGAGACGTGTTCCTTCCTCAGCTAGAGTCGCGAGATCAAGAAGTCAGTAACACATCTAACGCCACATCAACATTCATTTTACTCCCCAGTCGAGCTCGACCGATGAGTTGGCACGCCCTGCATGCAATCGAATGACATAGTTAGCTTATTAATTACTCGGCTTGCGTGCCACATAGGTTAGGTAGTTTTTAGGATCAACACATACAAAGGATGATCTTGGTCCTTTTTCTCGGTATGGTTGGTTACCATTTATGTAGACTTGTCCCATTGAGAGTTGAATAACCTTTTTGAACACAAGAGAAGAGAAGATCACTTTCACATCGTGAATACAATATCATCCAATGCAGGTTAGGGTTAATGAGTCATTATATAAATCATTAGTGTTCATGCATGGCTATTTAATGTCCATGAACATATTAGGGTTTGATGCTAACGTTCTTCAAGTGGCTTACACCTCCGGGTCGAGCAAAACTAGAAAGGTTTCAATTCAAATAATCAGCGCTGACGAGCTCGAGGACCACGAGAACGAGGGTGCAATAGGGGGTCGAGCAACATCGGGGATGTTTCAATTGACATTAAATTATTATTGTGGTTAACATATGATTTGGTAATTAACTTATTCAGTTAATCGGGTTTGCTGGTTTAGTACGTATTCTTGGATTTTAGTTGCCAACAAGAGTGGGCTTCTGTCGACCATGCCAGAAAGAAACTTTAGAGCTCTCCCTCCATATCTTTTTCTTTTGGAAAATATTTGAGAGAGTGGTTGTTTCAGAATTTTCTTTTCTTATGTAGGCGATGGGGTGGGGTGGGGGGTGGGGGTATTGCTTGGCGCCGGGGGGGGGGGGGGGTGGGTGGGGAAGAAGATGATAAGCAGTCATCTTCTTTTGTTTTTTATGTTTACAATTATATAGAAATAAAATTATCTTTTATGATTTAAATATTTTTTATTCATATTATAATATTTAATTAAACTTGTAGGACACAAGTACGTGACACATGAGCACTTAACAAAAGTTTTGACAGAATTGTGACGGAAGAACTACATTGATTTGTGACATTCATTTTCAAGAACTATATTGATCAATTTTCAATTTCATGAACCATCTTGATGGGTTGAATCAATTTCAAAGATTATTTATGATAAAAAGAACGTATTTCAAATGATTGAAAAATATCTAAACAAAACTCTAAAACTCTAAAACAATGTAAACTGTCGGAAGTGCAAGATTTATAAGCTAAGAATAGAAAGCGGTACTTAAACAATTGGATTTAGAGCACATTTGAACGGCACAAAACAATGCTCGGAGCCAAAGTCCCTCCACGCCTCATTACCCGCCGAATCCCTTTTTCAAAAACCCCAACACACCTCAATCCCCCCAACCCAAACCAATCTCCCCCTCTCTTCGAAAACATCTTACACCTCTTGAAACAGTGTGCCTCCACCAAACAGTTGAAGCAAATCCACACCCAAATGCTCATAAACTCCGTCGACAAACCCAACTTCCTCCTCCCCAGAATCATTGACCTCAAAGACTTCACTTATGCCTCCCTTCTCTTCTCCCACATCCCCGAACCCAACGACTACGCCTTCAACGTCATGATCCGCGGCCTGACCACCACATGGCAGAAATATCAGCTTACTATTGAATTCTATTACCAAATGAAGTCTTTGTATTTGATGCCCAATAATTTTACTTACCCGTTTGTGTTCATCGCGTGTGCGAACTTGTTGGAGTTGAATCATGGGCGTGCAGCGCATTCGTCGGTGTTTAAGAGTGGGTTGGATAAGGATGGACATGTGAGTCACTCGTTGATTACTATGTATGCAAGGTGTGGTGAGTTGGGTTTCGCACGGAAAGTGTTTGATGAAATTTCTGAGAGGGACTTGGTTTCGTGGAATTCAATGATTTCTGGGTATTGCAAGATGGGCTGTGCTGGGGATGCTGTGCAGTTTTTTTGCGAAATGAGGACTGATGGGTTTGAGCCAGACGAAAGGACCTTGGTAACAGTTCTTGGGGCGTGCGGGGACCTGGGTGATTTGAGTTTGGGTAAGTGGGTGGAGGGTTTTGTGGTTGAGAATAAGTTGGAGATGAATACATATGTGGGGTCTGCGTTGATTGGTATGTATGGAAAGTGTGGTGATTTGTCTTCAGCGAGGAGGGTCTTTGACAGCATGAAGAAAAAGGATCTGATAACCTGGAATGCCATGATTTCAGGGCAAGTACCTCTCCCTCAAGTATAGTTTTTGTTATATTTCTTGTTTATATTGCTCACTGCAGGCCTGCAAATGCAATTTGAGGATAAGGATGGGGTCAGAACGCAAAGGAAATAACTTTTTTTATCAGGCTTAGAATGTTAGGTTTTGATGATAACAAATTAAATGGGAATCTAACATACTTCTTAGATTCAATAGCAATGTGATTTGAACAGTAAAAGGTTATAACAAAGTCCAGGGTAGAAAGAGACTAGGGTTACGGGAATGTTCTGTCTTAACAGGAAATGTAAGTACAGAACTGGGATTGATGTGATGAAGAAGGAGAATGAGAAAATGAAGCTTTTGAGTACTTTTTCATGTAGATGCCTTGCACCTTGGTTAGATTATATCTCACATTTAGTTGATCATGAAACATAAGTATTGCACTCAAATCTTTGTATTTTGAAAATCTCTTTAGATTATTAAAATAACAAAAACGGAAGGGTAATTTCTTTGACATAAATGAACTAGTAGCTACATTTGGTTGTAGCAAAGTGTGCCTATTACAACATTATACTAGATTAGTTTCTAATTACCCAAAACAAAGTCTGGTAAATTGGTTTGGGCACAGTTGTACCTACTTCTCTATGGAAAAATATTTATGTGAGAGGTTCCCTTTGGTTGAACATTTTCTTCCATGGGAGTGCAATTTTTTAGGAGGTGGCTGGGTTGCTTTATGAAAACTATTTTCATTTGCCTGCTGTTTGGTTTAACAATAAGCACATAAGAAAGAGCAATATATTTATGATGGTATTCAACTTGGTACTCCCATACGTTCACACTTCGCACTACTTTGTACTTTTTATTGCTTACAGAAGTTTTCTTACGCATCTATTAAATATTTTCTGACTGTTATTGACCCTCAAGCCCCTTCAATATGTCCCTGGAAGAGGAATCTGGTAAAAACCTATGGTTATCAGATTCTAATGGGATGACTTCAAAAAGTATGTCCAATTCGACAATCAGCAGTATACCATTAATATATATTTGTAAATCATCATTTTCATACTTGACAGGTATGCACAAAATGGAATGTCTGATGAGGCAATGGTGCTCTTTGATGGTATGAAAGAGGCAGGTGTCAATCCTGATAAAATCACGTTGGTGGGAGTGTTGTCTGCATGCGCCTCAATTGGTGCCCTAGAATTGGGGAAATGGATCGACACATATGCAACTGAACGAGGCTTACAACATGAGATTTACGTTGGTACTGCATTGATTGACATGTATGCTAAGTGTGGGAGCTTAGCCACTGCTCTGAGAGTTTTTGAAGACATGCCCCAGAAAAATGAGGTTTCTTGGAATGCCATGATATCTGCCCTTGCTTTCCATGGGAGAGCACATGAAGCAATATCCCTATTCAAGCGCATGACAGAAGGTTCTGCATCTGTTCGGCCAAATGACATCACATTTGTAGGATTACTTTCTGCATGTGTTCATGCTGGATTAGTCGACAAGGGTCGTCAGTTATTTAATTTGATGAGCTCGTCATTTGGGCTTGTTCCAAAAATAGAGCATTACTCTTGCATGGTTGACCTTTTGTCACGTGCAGGACTTGTACATGAAGCTTGGGACTTTATTCAGAAAATGCCTGAAAAACCAGATCAAGTTGTACTGGGGGCGTTGCTTGGTGCCTGTAGGAAGTGTAAAAATGTAGATGTCTCCGAGCAGGTATTGCAGTTGCTTCTTGAATTAGAGCCTGCAAATTCTGGAAACTATGTTATCTCATCAAAGATATATGCAAATTCAGAAATGTGGGATGATTCAGCGAGGATGAGAATGTTGATGAGACAAAGAGGTGTCAGTAAGACTCCTGGTTGTAGCTGGATTGGGAATGAGGATCAACTTCATGAGTTTCACTCGGGTGAAGGCTCAACAGAGATTCTCGATGTAATTAAATTACTATATGAGGATCTGAAGATTGAAGGTTACATTCCAAACATTAATTCTGTCTAGAGAAACGAGGATGACGCCCTGCTATGCATCTGGATCTTATCAACAAAATGACATGTTTATAAGATTGTGATGCCAGGTTGGTGAATTAAAGCAATTTCTCTTTCTCTTCTGGCATATTTAGCAATGTTTTGGGGTGTAAAGTTGTGTGATTATTTTCTGGTTTGCAATTTATTTGTCCCTCCCTTTCTGCATGAGTTGTTCATTGGGCAGCTAAAAGCTTTAGGGCCCATTTGGTACCCTACTCAAAAGTTTTCAATATTTTTATAAAACTCAAAAACTTGTTTGGTATGACACAAAATTGTTTTTGTCTTCACAATTTTTTTTTCAAAAAAAAAACATAGCTCTTTGCCAGCAACTCCTTGTTGGAGCCGAAGGACGGAGATCGAGATCAAGACCAGAAGAGATAGGGCAGAGAGCGGAAGAAAGGAGATAGAGAGAGAAAAGAGATAAGGGAGAGAGGAAGAGAGGAAGAGAGGGGAGAGAGGATGAAGAAAAGATCTGGAGAGAGAGAGAGAGAGAGAGAGAGAGAGAGAGAGAGAGAGAGAGAGAGAGAGAGGATAAGAGTGGGTTTTAGTTTTGAATTCAGTTTTTCAAAATAGTACTACGAACAAGAATTTAGGATTGGGACTCAAAAACTGTTTTTGAGTTAAAAAAATTAGATTCAAGTTGAAAACCAAACAGGTGCTCTTAGTTTTTAAGATGTGCGGTTTAGAGAATCAATAAAATCAAAGGGTTATTGCGCATCATATTTTCGTTTTTTTCAGTGTGCATATTCAGAGAAATGAATATAAGTATGACCGTAGCCATGGAAGAAGAAATTAAACTAAACAGGCATTGGATTGAACTTCAAAGGTCTAAAGGTGACGCACGATGCAGTCATTTTGCTGGAATTTATCGCTTCCAATATTATTTGTACCTCTTATGCAACCTTTGATTAAAACGTGCAGGTTACCCTACTGCTGCCCGCGACTGGACGCAATGGTCCTTGGCAGAAATCAGCAATTGACTGACTAGGATTTACACTTCATTGTCCTGCAACAATTGTACATAGCTCTCCCTACGTCTTCTCTTCCTTCATTTCTTTGTGTGTTGTTTTCCTGCTTTACTTTTTACATATATGGCTCCATAATTCTCTGGTGAGGTGTTCATAGCAGTGATAAGAGATCACCATCATGCTGGTGTGATTTGTATTGTCATGCATGCCTCAAGTTTAATCACGAGGCCCGCGGAGAATAAGTTGACTTTAGATTTTAGAATCAACTTGAACAATTGCCCACGCGCTACTGCGGGTTTTGAAACCATAATGTAGGACATGCATAAATAATTTTGACAGAAAGACGTACAAATTGTTGATGATGGCCTTGAGCTTTCTCAGACTTATAAGTTTGTGTTGTGGAGCTTGGACATGCATTGGTCTCGCAATTTGGGTAGTAAAACAAAAGAAAAGAGTGTTGATTTCCTACAACTAAAGCTAAAGTCTAAAGAAAAATAAAGGGCTTATTTTTAGCTACGTCTTCTGAAACTCGATTGTGATCGTACTCTACACTTTGTAACTCAAAGGTTACCACTTGACTCTCTAAAACTCAAAATTCGTTTCATTTTGATTTGTGAAATCTCTCACTTCTCCTTGAAACTTAAGGGCATATTTAGTACTTTACTAGAATTCAACTTTTAAACTCAAAAATAAATTTCAAGTTTTAGGCTTTAGGCTTTAAAAACTATTTTTAAAAAATAAATTCAAGACTAACTAAAATATATAGTATCTCTGTAAAAATCAAAGAAGTGAATTTTTAGAGTTTTTAAATTTAAAGCTCATTCATCTCTCTCTCTCTCTCTCTCTCTCTCTCTCCAAATCTCTCTTCCTCTCTTTTCTTCTTTCTCTCTCCTCTTTTTTTTTATTTTTAATTTTGATAGATGAAACTCAGGAATGAGTAATGCGACGCTTAACCTGTGGAGAGAAGTGTTGGAATCTAAAGATCTTCGTCTAAGTCGGTTAAAGACAAAGTATATGGAGGGCAAATGGAAGCTCAAATGAGTTAGGGGTGAGGATTGGAGATCATGAAGTGCCAAAAAGCGACCACTTTCGCTACCTAGGATTTATCTTGCAAAAAAAAACAGAGAGTTGGATGAAGACCTCAACCGAAGAATACATGTTGAATGAATGAAGTGGAAGAGTGCATCCGGCGTGTGTGACCGTCGTATGCCATTAAACGTCAAGGGAAAATTTTATAGGATGGCAATAAAGCTGGCAATGCTTTATGGCACGGAATGTTGAGCGGGGAAGCATCAATACGTACATAAAATAGGGGTAGTGAAGATAAGAATGCTTCGTTGGATGTATGGGCACACGAGAAATGATAAGATTATGAATGAGAATACCCGAAGTAAAGTAGGAGTAATCGAAATTGAAGGAAATATGAGAGAAAATCGATTACGGTGGTTTGGACAAATAAAATGAAGGCCTACTAACGCTCTGGTTAAAGGATGCGATTACGGAACAAATGTTCAGAGACAAAGGGGTAGATGAAGACCTAGGAAGACTTTGGAAAAGACTCTAAGAAAGACTTAGAGTACGTGGATCTAACAAAAGAAGTGAGACAGAATCGAGCGCAATGACGTTCTAGGATTCATATAGTCGACCCCACTTACTGGCAAAAGACTTTGTTGTTGTTGTTGTTGTCTTTTTCTCTTATCTCATTCACTCTCTTCATTCTCTTTGTTCTTTCTCTTGTCTTGAGAAACTTTTTCTTGTGCCCATAATACAAGTGCTACACCACGTGTTGTTATATAAATTGTAGGAAATTTTATTTTTCATGTTATTCATATTTTAATACAAGAATCTCATCACTTGTACAGAGACATGTGGTGTACTATTCCCTGTTCCAGATACATTAAAAAATCTTTACTCTCTCCCCTTCCTCTCTATCTCTTCCAATCCTCTCTCTCTCTTTCCTCTAGTCATCTATTACTTTCCTTCCTCATCTATCCTCTTCCTCCCTCTCTTTGAATCTCTTTATTTAGTTTAAGTTTTAAGATTTAAAATTTTTAAATCTCTTACCAAACAAATTTTTTAGTCTTAAAAAAATTGGCTTTCAAGAAATGATTTAAGGAATGATGAAATTTTTTTAATAGAATACCAAACAGGCTATAAACATCTCTCCTAGAGCAAATGTGAGGTCCATCACCCAATAAGAGTAAGCTACAAGTGCTAATGTATTTGATACTAAATCTCCATTATGTATTAACATTAACAATCAGAAAATATTAAGTTTAGAGAATAAATTAAGAATTTGAATTTTTTTTGGTTGCTATGATTGAGTGGAAAAAAAAAAAAAAAAAACTGATTAGCCTAGTACCCAAATCAAACCCACATAAAGAGATTAATAGAATTAAGACAACATGGAGTGAACTTTGAGTTTTATGGGGTAGGGGGGAATCAAAATTGAATTTCGGGTAGCAAAGTTGAGAGAATTTTGAGTTTCAAGAGTAAAATGACGATTTTTTATTTACATATGATAGAATTCCAAATAAATTCAAGAAAGCATGGCTAAAAATAAAACCAAAAAAAGTTTGAGTTTTATGGGGTAGAGGGGAATCAAAATAGAATTCCAAATAATAAAGTTAAACGAATTTTGAGTTTTAGGAGTAAAATGACGATCCCTGTATATGGGTTTAACGGTTTGGACTTCGAATTTGTGTGTGTCCGGCTGAGATAAAGAAGTCTGACTATATGCTGCGTTTTGGCAGGAGATAAATTTTGGCGGATTGTTTTTTCTTGTGTAGTGCTCAATCAAAGACATATGGAGCTGCATCTTTTTCCTTTGTAGTGACTAAGCAGAAAGGGACGTACATAAAAATACATTTGTCACTTTCAATTTCCATACGCGGATAAAAGTAAGTATAATTTCAAAGCAAAATGTCTTAATCTTCATGTCTGAACATGTTTACTAGGATGGAATGTGAATTAGTGTATTAATCCGATGGGAGTGTCTCGTATTGGACATGTGAAGCTCGCATCAAAGACTTAACAATATATGCACCAATAACATGTATACATATAATATAAACTCTTATGCAAAAACTATCGAGAACCCCAATTGGCAAGAGGTCATGGCCTCTGAACTTGAGCTTTGGAAGCGAACCATACTTGGACTCATTTTCTACCCCCGACAAGAAGCCCATTGGATGTAAGTGGGTTTACAAAATAAAGCACCCTTCCAATAACACTATCGAGCGCTATAAAACCTGTTTGATGGCCAAAGGTTACACTCAGCTTGAAGGGATCTATTATCATGATACTTTTTCCCCCACTACAAAGTTGGTCACATTTCAATGCCTTTTTAGCCCTCAATGCTTCAAAAAAATTGTCCCTTCATTAGTTGGACGTTAATAATGCTTTCTTCCATGGCGATCTCTGTGAGGAAATTTATATTGGGCCGCTTCCTAGTCTTAAGTGAAAGGGGGACAGGGGGAGCACATGGTGTGTCACTTGAATAAATCTTTATATGACATAAACAAGCATCACGTCAATGATTGTTCAAGTTTTATGAGGCCATTCTACTAGATATACTAAATCCAAGTCAAACTATTCCCTCTTCACAAATAAAAGTAATAAATCCTTCACGGCTCTCCTCATTTATGTCAATGATATTTTGATTACTGGTCATGATCCGGTTGGTATCAAGAAGCTCAAAACTTTTTTAAATTCACGTTTCTTCAATGAAGATCTGGATGATTTAAAATAATTCTTGGGAATAGAAATTTCCCATTCCAAAAAGGTTATCTTTATTTCCTAGTGAAAATATTTGATGGACATTCTCAAAGATATTTGTGAGTTGGGTGTGAGACCTACCGAATTTCCCATGGAGCAGAATTTGAAGTTATTACTAGATGAGGGCGATTTCCTTCTTTATCCTTCAAAGTATCGACAATTGGTAAGAAATCTAATTTGTCTCACCATCATTAGGCATCACATCACCTTTTCTATGCACATTCTAAGTCGATTTACAACTATATGCAAGTCCCATTATGATGCAGCTCTACGTGTTCTTTGATTTCTTAAGAGTACTCCAGGCCAAGGCAGTTCTTTACAGTTGAATCCTTATTGAGGTAAACCAAACCAAATCCAACCCAGTCTAGTTGAAGACACCCATCCTCGTCTTACCAAATTTGTGCCTAATATACCGAAAATCTCCTCCTCTCCCTCACTCACTCGCGCGCGCACTTGTACTTGTACACGCCAAAATCCTCCATGTGGCCACTAGCTCCCTCCTAGATTTCGACTTCTATAACTTCAGTCTCCCTCCAAAACCCCCTTCCCTCTCACTCTCTTCCTTCAAAGCTTTCACACACCTTGTTATATTCTGGCGTTTCAATTTCCAGCCGTTTCACCCAAAACCTAATTCACCATTTGACCGCCATGGTTTAATCTCCCTGACCCAAAAATCCCACCTTGTTCTCTGCTGGTACACAACAATAGATTTGGTGGATAGAAGCTTGCTTTCTATAAATATATTACATTCATGGGGTTTGTGCATAGTGCTGTTATTTTATTGTTTTTTTCTTTGAAATGAAACGCACCATTTTATTTAAATTTTTTTTCCCAGATCCAAAATGTCGTCGTTTTTGCCCTGGGTTGAAACACAAAAACGAAAATGCAACAGTGCCACTCCAGAGGGGTGGAAATCTAGGTTTTAGGAACGAATTCTGGCAACCGAAGGTGCGGCTGCACGTCTGTGGCTTCACTCTTGCATGCAGGTGACATTGTACGTACTGCTGTGTTGTATTTTGATAATCAAGCAACCCTATATATTTCGGCTACTCCGGTATTTGATGAAAGGACACGACATGTAGAGATATACTGACATTTTGTGAGGTATAAGATGCAAAAACTAGAGGAGTGATTCTTCATTGATGTAAATATAAACCCATGTACAATTTTCTTTTCAATACACAGAAAACATTATTCTACAGTATCATCTTTCTTTAGATTGTCCTCTCCAAAAGCTTATCAGATTTATATTTCCAATTTCTTATTCATATACAAAATCCTAAAATATTGTAAAACAAATTAATCTCATCGTTAGTCTTCACTGGTTGTCGATCCCGAATTGTGCAAGAATTTAATTAATGCCATTCATAAAAGAAGACTTACTATGACACTGAAAAGAGCAACAATTACAGATTGTGACAAATACCCTTTGAATCCCTTTCCGCCATGCTTCGTATAATAAAGAGCCAATATTTCTTCTCCTCATGCTAAAGATGAAAACAGAAGAAATTGACAAACACCCTTCATTAGAAAATGAACAAGAAAAAACCACTTCAATTAATAAAGTTCCTTTCTCGTTACA